CAAGTACAAAAGTTAGTTTTTTTCCCCCCTTGACGGGGGGGGGTGGTGTTGAAATAATAATATTTTCTTTTAATATTCCTTGACAGACATATTCGGTTGCTTTCATGTGTAATAATACACTTACTGATTTGAAAGATGGCTTTTAATTTCGTATAATGTAGGTTTTCCGTTTGGTGGTTGTATCCGTGCAGAGTTTCTGCCCTTGCTGTCAAACAAAAGCAGTTCACGTTCTGTTTATTTTTTATTCCTGGGTCTTCATGTCTGCTGAGAGGTTTTTTTTTCTTTCTGTCTTTTTTTTTTTTTTTTTTTTTTTCCCGAAGTAATACCATAATCAGCCTTTAGGCATTATTTTGGAGTTGAGTTCAGTTGTGTCTTATCCCAGTTGCGGTTTCTTTTCCCGCATTACCGCAGTGCCTTCATCTGGAAAGGTAAGTTTTGAAGATTTTAACGATTTCTGGGGCAATAACCGTGTGTGAACTGAAGAAGGAATAAAAAAAGAAAGCAAGAAAAAGTATGTATCTGCAGGAAACTTTGGAACTGTTGGATATAATAATTATCTCCCCCTCCTGTATCTGTAGGAAATGCCCATATGTGTGTGTTTCCCGCAGCTCTATTTTTATACAGCAACGCCGTTTGCTAAAATCCGTTAATATTCGCCTCCTTTTTATTTTCGTGAGTCATGCATGAAAAATGATTGTGTTTGCAAAGTCACTGAAAGTAATTTATCTTCTAACTGTTGTACGCCATTGGAAAAGGTGCTCAGGTATTTACGTGGTAGGGGAATAGAGGGAGAATGTCAGTTTTTCGATGTTGAAGATGCGATCAACACTTTCTTTCCTCAGAAACTGAACTTAGCTGTACTGTGGCGTTTAATAATCGAATCTTAATTTTTGTTGTATACTGTGTGCTCAAATTCCTGCATTTTTTTGGCATTTTTGTGCTCGACTGTGATTGGAGTACCGTAGAACCAGCTGTTCTCACTGACGTCGACCACAGTCCATTCATAAAATCTTTGTAGTTGGATTGCCTTTTTCTCCGCAGAAAAATTCATTTTTATTGTTAAAAAAAATAATTTTGCATTTACATTTATCGTTTTTTATTATTTCGCAAAAATTACATAGTAAAATTTTTTTCTCCTGTGAAAAAATAATATATAGGAAATACATTTTTTAACAGCGTTAAACTTAGTTCTTCCCTCATTGTGTGCATGCGTACGTGGGCGCATCCGTACTTTTCAAATAAATTTAAATAAATGTAATGATTATTTAAATTATATGATAGCAATTTTAATCTCAAGGATTTAATTAATATTTAAATATAAATTTGATTTTTTTTCTTTCTGATACTATTATTGTTGTTTATTATATTATGTTTTGATAAAATTTAATAAGTGAAGCCTAAAATTATTATTTTTTATTTTGTTAATAAGAAATTTTCATTTTCTTTAAAAAAAATGTGGGCATCATATGTTCTTAAAACCTATGTTTCACCCACATGGTACTTTGAGATCACTAAAATACTTAAATTCTCCCCCCTTTCTCTTTTCAACTTTTTTTTTTTTTTTTTTTTTTTTTTTTTTTTTTTTTTACTGACATAATGACATTAGCACTTTGTAATTTTGTTAAGTCACTACAAATATAAATGTAAATTATTTTTGCATTCATATTTGTAGTGACTTTAGGATTTTAGCCTAAAAAGTCTTTTTGGGGGGGGGTATTAAAAAAGAGAGTCTCAATTTTAGTAAGCTTTGAACTCTACGTAACCTTATATGGAATCATTTTAATTCTGTGGGAATTTCCAAAGAAAATAAATGATTTTATTCCTTTTGGCAAAATGAGGTACAGCAGCAGATGTATTTTGAACCTTTTTCACTACCATGTTTAATGTATGGGACATATGGAAGATCATAATTATTTAGCATCCCCCTCATTTCGTTTTTGAGAAAGAGATACTTGATGCTTTGTATCTAAAAATATTAAATAACGTCAAAGAATCTCTAAAGATGCCAATAACAATTCTTTGTTTCAGTTTACTCAGAATGCTTGTTGATGCCACTAATATGAAACGGTTATGAAGTAACCGTTCATATTAGTGTAACGAACTGTAACGAAGATGTTAACTGAGAATGTCAACTTCATTACATCAGGAAAAATTCATTAATAAATTATATTAATCTTTGGTATCCATAAGTTGTTTACTATTCTATCTCACCATACTTTTTAAGAATACCAGGCTGACTAGCAACCAAAGGATAAGATCACTGAACACTAGTAGTTTGACCCAGGTTCAAATCCTGCAGAATGGCCTGGCTGCATGATAGTTTTTGTGGTTATCATATCATTCATGGCTCATTGGCACATGATTTTCACCATGTGTAAAGAGAATATAAGCCTGTTTCCTTCAAAAAGACCTGAACAATGGCTTCCCTCCGCTTAGACAGATAACCCTTGTCTACTTTGTCATGAATCCACATAACTTAATTTTTTCAGATCTCAAGAATTTCATTTTAAAATTAGCATAATTATTCCTATTATAATGCACAGTGCAGTCTTATTATTATTTAAGGACTGTATCAGGGGCTGAATGACTAAGACCATTGAATAGTGGCACTTTGAGCCATGTTCCAGCCCATTCGACAGGCTGGCTGCATGGGTGTTTTTCACGGTTTTTCTCAATTTTTAAACATGGACATAATTCAGTTTTGCTCAGAAAATTCTTCCCGAAAGCATCCTTGGCATGCAGACAGCTGTTCTTTGCTTTGCCATATTCAAATAAATTAACCTATTATTTAAAGATGACTTATAAAGTTTTTGTTATATTTTTGATAGTTTTGATAAATTCTGTTTTTATCCAATTTTTTTTCAGTGTATTTTGTTTATATTTGTGAATATTAGTTCTTATTTTAAATATTCATGTTATAGTGATATTGCTTTTTTAAACCGGGAAGGACCCCACCCCCCTAAAAAAATCTGAAAGCTTTCAGATTTTGCATTATGCTTAAAGGGACAATTTTTTAATCTTCTGTATGCTAACTTTATTTATTAAATGTTCTTTGCACTCCAACCATAAAATTCAATTCAACAGGAATAACACAAAATAATTTTTAAATTAGTGTATCTTTAGAATTTCCAGTTGCATGCTGAAGATAAAAATGTCCCCCCCCCTCGGTACAGTTTTGCCATTGCTCACTTTGTTTATTAATAAAAAATTCACTGAAGTGTTATGAAATATGAAATTGATAATAAAACAAATTCCAAATTAGCACTTTCAGATGCCCATATTCGGTGGAAGATTACATTATTCAAAATTTGGTGGCTCTAGGTACCGTTGTTTTTATCACAGTGCGAGTAACAGGGAAACATTTATGCAGATTCTTCATTATTTAATTTCTTTAATTATAACAACAGAGCGACAGTATTTGGTGGCAATGATAGTAGTGAACCGACATTTAAAGTTTTCAATGCAAAATGCCAAAACGAAATTAATAGCCTTCCTGGGCTAATGCCCTTTGGGCTAAAAACGTGGGATAGTAAAGTGTAATTGATTTTAAATTTCATCAACCGCTCCCTTCCTGATAATAATGCCATGACCATCCTTTAGGCGTTTTAGTGTTGAATGTATTGTGTCTTATCCCAGCTGCAGTTTTTCTGAATTACTGTTAATACGAGCCTTTTGCTTCCTTAATTTTTTTCCCCCTTAAATTAAAGCTTTTTTGCTTCCTTAAATTTACAGGATTTAGGTGTGAAAAAGAAACTCTCCCTCCACCCAATGGATGAACACTTAGTCGTTAAGCATTTGTCAGGAGTGACTTATCGGTCAATTAGTGTATTTTCACCAAGCTCTCAAGGTGCACCCCAAGGGGCATCGAATATTACAACCTTCAGCAAGGGATTAGGCAATTAAAATCATCTATGCCATGATTGGAACCCGTGCCAAATAACATAGCAGCTGTCTTTATACTTCTCTGGCTGGCATAACTGGCAGGAAAAGGATAAAGTCATTACCTGCGTATGATTTTTAATTTCATCCCTTTGAAATAATTCACAGTTAAGTTTTTAGCCATTATTTTAGAGTTGACTACTATCGTTGTTTCTTTTCCCAGCTGTACTTTTATTATTATTATTTTTTTTTTTTTTTTTGAAAAAGTTTGCATGCATTTTACTATTATGTTACATGTTCTCAAGAAATAAGTTATTTGGAAGCTTTCTTGAGAAAATATTTGTTAATTCTCCCACATTATAGCTAGTTAACGTATTTAGTCGCAGCTAATAAATTTATGCCAGATCTTAGAATATATAATCAAGCTTCATTCCAAGGTTTTTTTTTTTTTTTTTTTTTTTTTTTTTTTTCCAGATTGCGTCAAGTCCAAGAACAGGTATTTAAATTGTTCTTTTAGTTTTATTGACAGCTTTCTGTGAATAATTTAAGAAGAAAAATTTGCAGTGTGTGTGCTGAGTTGGGAATGACAGTGCTGTGCAGTGTAAGAGCTGTAGGCAATAAATCTTTTTGAAATGCGTACTTTCTTGAGCTACATATGCATGTATTTTCACTGATGTCCATACATTAAGTTCAGAGTGCCATCTAAACTCCATGTTCATTAAAAAGCATATACCTTTAAAAAAAACTTTTTTTTTCCATTATAAATTAGGAATATATCACTTGAAAATTGCCATTTATCTTTGTGTCAGATGTGAATAGTGTTATTTACTTAAAGATAATTTTTAACTAGAGTTTCTGTCTGGTGTTTTTAGAAATAGGTATGTTTTTGTATACCTGAAAGTTTTAATTTCCATAATAATTGCCTGAGAATTTATATGTTAATTTACATTAGAAAAAGATAATGACTTCACAAAATAATTCATTATCCACTGCGAAACATATCTGATGTATTCAATTTTTGAAAAAAATAGCAGCAATGTCTAATTATGATTTAATAAAGAAATTTTCTAGTAATTTGAATAGTTTTTATACCTGTAAAACACTTGATTCTTATTTTGTAGGTGATACGACTACCCCAGAATGGTAACTGTCAGACTTATAGTTTCACTCTTTCAAATGTTGAAGCCGATGGACCACATGGTAGCTTCGAATGTCTTCGACAGACTGGACACAGGTCAGTAATTTGTAAGAAGGTTTTTGTGTTATACGTGTTGCTTCTTCTGCATTTATACAGAGTGAATCACGAGAAGCAGATATTTTTGGAACTGACCATACTCAGCTTGTAGAGGGAGGTGCAGGAGGAGGCCTTCAATTCACCTTGAGTTGATGTAGTATCCATCATGCCATAATGACTCGATTTTATGTATGTTTTATAAGCAAACACCACGTATTTGCTTATGAAACGTGTGAAAGATGGTGAGGCGGTGATAACTACCCAACGTCTCTTCAGGTAAAAATTCTACAGTGGTCATCATGGTGATGTCCCCAGCTGCAATACCATCCTTCGGTGGGTTAATACACAATGAACAACCTATTCTTTGATGACTCGAGTATTTCGAGAAGGCTTACCTCCAAGATGGTTTTCAGTGTACATACTTTAGATTGTCAACTTAGAAATAAACATAATATGTTGCAATAAATTCAAAAATAGAAATAAATAGTTTGTTGCCTTTTATTACTCTGTCAGCTGCACATTTAGGAAATGGAGAAATTAATAACATTTAAGGAATGTAATGAATTACAACTGTATATTAATGATGAAAACAGGCTGTTTGATGAGTTCAACCATGCTAGAAAATAGTATAAAATTATCAGTTGAGAAGCAGTTAATAACTATTTTTCATAAAATTACTTTGCTATTATTGTGAGGTTTGTAAATGCAGCTGTGTAATTGAGTCTTTGATAAAGTGTTTTAGTTTGATAACAAAATGAGATTTTCATGGCTGCCTTAAATACATATTTGCTGGTCATTGTAGAATTAGGAATTGGTTGTCTTGGAGACTGCTTTTATAATTATCAATACTGATGTCTTGGAGACTGCCATTGCATATTCTCAGAAATATGTTATATTTGAAGTCATGCTGTTGAGTAACAGGTGTAAAGATAAGATTACTAAGACTAGTATAACCAATAAGGAGCAACATCACAAGTATTTTGCTCCATATTGAGATTTGGGCATAATTTGATTTGTCCTAAAACTCTTTAATTTGCATGTGACTGTTAAATGTTTATATTCAACTTTTGAAGTTATTCAAGATCAACCTAGGGAAATATGCTTAGGGATGTATCCTGTTTTGCTGAAATGTATAGTACTTACAGAAAGGTTTTGTAAAAGAGTTATTTTGCAAATTTGTATAACAATCTTTCATATAATTACTACTGTGGCTCTCATATCATTATTTATTTAACAAACAAATTACATGCTATCTGAACTAAATTTGGTAAGTATGGAAAACACAGATATTTCTATGCAAAGTATTAAAAGTATTTTGTCAGATTTTAAAATAGCTTCCAAATTAAATTCTACCTGCTTTTAGCATTCAAGTCAAGTGTAATTTAATTTATCTGACCATATGTTTTATGGAGAATATTCATACTCCCATGTTTTAGATACCTTCTATGTTTCTTGGAATCCTATAAATATGAAGGCTTTTCTATTTTAGGCAAATGTATAAATTTTATTGCAATAATTTTATGAATGGTATTGTTTGTAGAAATTTTTTAATAAAAAATTCATTGTTAATTTTAACATTGATTAAAATTAAAAATTAGCATGGTGTTTCCAAATTTATAGACCTTGCATGTTAATAAAGAACCTTTAATGCTCCAGTTTGTATGTTCTTCATGGTTGAAAATATGTGTGCATCTTGAATTTTTTAGGTCTTTAGAGTCATTAGGGTGTTTGGATATGAAAATGCATATCCATGCTAATGAAGACAGTTATGAAAACACAAGAGTGAAAATGGCAGCTGCTGAACAAGAACACAAAAAGTCTTGGTAAATTTTCTTGTAATTTTACTCTGAATTCCCATTTTCTCTCCTCTTGTGTCTTACATTATTTGAATTTATTTAATTACTGTATAAGAAGTTTATGAAATGTGTACAAGCAAAGTAAATTTAAGGATTTTATAAGAAATCTTTCTGTTCAACATTATAAAAATTATGCTTCCTGTATATGCACTTCATTGTCTGTAAGCTCTCAAAATTACCAAGAAAGACCATCATTCATTTTAAGTTACTTCAAATTTTAAAAATTCCTTTTTTGTTAAATATTAGATGATGCAGAATTTGAGTAATTATTCTAGACCTTCATTAACAGAATAAAGGGATCCAAAATTTTATTTTCAAATTAACTAAATTCATTAAACATATGTAGAAAATTTAAAAATGAGTACTATTTTTCATTAGAATGGAAAATAGTGTAGCTAGTTGCAGGACTAATCACTTTCTTGTAACAGTTTGATGCAATATGTGTCATACTTGATCACTAAATGTTTATATTTATATATTATTAAAATAATTTTTATCACACTTTAATCTAATGATTAATTAATTAATTTATTAAGTCTAATTTATTTTCTTAATCTAAATCAAATCTATTTTATTTTTTTTCAGCACAAAAGAAATCAAACCAGCTGGTGCTCATCTTGGTATGTAAAAATATCTCTGTTTATTTATCCATACATAAAAAATAATCGCAGTTTTAAACTTTTATCAATAATTTTATGTCTTAGCATTACAGTAAGCCCTTGTGGAATGTGGGGTCATTGTGGAAAGTCATTAACACATTGCGCGTATAGTAAAATCATGTTCTGCAAAGTGCAGTTTGGGTTAGGTATAGTTCAAATTAAATGTATGTTTAATTTATACAAATCTAAATATTATTGTAATTTAAAAGGGGAATGAAACAAATGTTAATTGAAAGGATTTCTATTACTACTTAATTAAGTAGGTACATGATAAAATTATTTTTTGAAATAGCTGGTAATTTTTCCGTGGGACATTGTCTAGCTTAATTTATTGAACATTTAGCAGTAAGGTGTGCTGAGCTTTTTCAGTACCAGTTATAAAGTTTCCTCTTCTTTATTCTTTTGAGTCCGTTTCAATTACAAAATCAGACAGTTAGTTCCTGTGCCTTTTTTTGATAATTTGTTTAACCTCTTGCATGTTGTCTTCTTCATTGTCACAGCTTTTACCATTTATTGGTGTTATAAGATCATTCAGTTCTTCATTTGCCATTTCATGATCATTGTTCGTGAGTAATTCTTTGATTTTTCATTCTTCTTCATCTGAAAATCTTTCATCACGTAGTGCTTTTGCAGTTTGTATGATTTCCTCGGCTTCATTTTCAGTTGATTGGAATCCTTTAGAACTGTTGACAACTTCTGGCCTGAGCTGATGCCAGCAAGCATTCATTGTTGGTGAACTCACTTGTTCCCATGCAAGTGTAATCATTTTTCTGCAGTGTCTTATGTCAAATTGCTTCCAAAATCCAATTAATGTACAGTGCTTTCCTTCATCTAGTCCTTTATTTGCAGAGGTGTAAACATGCCTGACATAACAGGCTTTGAATGTTGTGATTCCTTGATCCATTGGTTGGATTAAGGAATGGTGTTCAGTGGAAGGAATAAGCCTCTACATTTGGATGCAGTGTCATGAGGGCTTCAGCACTGACCCCCTGGAGCATTATTGAAAACTGGAGAACATTAAAACTCAGATTTTGCTGTTCTAAGCAGTGTTTGATTTCTTGAATAAATGAATTTTTAATACACTCATTAAAGAGCTCATTCACAATGCGTTCAACATTCTTGAGTGTACCATCTGTAATTAAAATTCTTGCACTGGACAAATTAAATTGAGGTAATTAAGGTAACATATGTATGCAAAACTGCTTTTGCATTCTGCAAGTCTGCATTCAAGCACAAATTTAGCAAAAAACGTTTTCTGTTGTTAAATACAGATGTTGTCTTGAAATTACAGAAATTTCTACTTTGTCTAGATGATTAACTTTTGTCCCAGACTATTGCCAAGGAATCTTTACTTGTTTTTAATTCTGCTAAAAACACTAATTTTGAATTCTTATGAACACAATCCATTTGCTTCAAATTCCAAATTTTTTCTGTGATAGTAATTAATGAAAATTTTAAGTTGAAGTATTATTAATGATAGATTTTTCTCTATAGATTGCTTTGATATTTGTAAATATTTTAGTAAATTTGTCTTCACTTTTACATGTTATAGACATTAAGAATGGTAATAAAAATTCTTATTTAGCCTGACAAAAACAATTAATGTTTTAATTAAGCATTTGAATTCTTTTTATTCACCATACTATTTTAGTTACAAAATTGGTATTCATTTCTGTGTAAAAATTGCATGCCATTTTAAAAGAAAAACAAAATGTGATGATATTTAACCCAAAATTTTACAATTAGATTGAACCTTGTCTTAATGTCTAACCTTGTCTTGTAGTTAAAATATGAAAATGCTTGGTTCTCTTATATAATGTGTTTTGTATTTTCAGGACGGAAAGTTAAAGTAAAGCGACCTGGTTTGGTTTTGTCTTCTGTGAAACCTAATAGTCCTCCTACATCTTCATTAGCCATAACTAAAAATCCTGTTAAAGTTGTAAATAATGGATCTGCAGGGATTTCAAATATTTCTCTACCTAAAAAGCCTGACCCTCAAAAATTTGCCAGAGTAGCCTCAAAAAATAAATTTGCCAATAGTCCTGAGCTTCTGCGACAACCAATTAGGTATTTTTTTAATGTGTAAAATTTTGCTTTAGGCTTCTTGAAAAATTTTATTAATAGCTTACTTTCTTTTGAAAGATTTTTATTTTTCATTTTTTATGTTTTTCAGTATTATTTCATCATCAGTTTATCAAGCAATTGTTCAAAATTTTATTTGTATGTTATATTTGTATGGACAATATTATTAATGGATCATAGATTTTTAAATTTTAGTGTTTAAAAATATTTATTTCTGGTCCAGAGTGTCTAAGGTATTCTTGATTGTAGGCTAGTGGATATTAATTCCAAAGATTGTTAAAAGACTGATGTGAATGTTAGTAGGAAATATATGGTTTTTTCAGTGTTGTTTTTGAGAGGTTGTTACTGATTGAGAGTGCTAGCTGGAAATATATCATGAAAGAAACTGCATGTAGTATAAGTCAAGGATTCTGGCAGTTTAAAGTAATGCCTTTGAGACTATACATCATTCTAGTAGCCTTGAAATATTTAGAAAACGGTTTTGAAGAGATTCTCTTATGATTCTTATGTAATATTTTTAGATGGCATTAATAGGCATGTGAACTTTTGAAGAACATGAAGAAAGTACTGAGAAATTAACACTTTACCAACTGCTATCTGTTCAACAGCATAACGTGCATCCGACCGGTCGCTCAGCTGCAGATTCTCCCTGTTCTGAATAACTGTAAGTCAGTCTGATAAATTGTCTAAATAAAACTCTCCAGTACCATTTTTTCGCTCATCGTAAACAAAAATTTTTTTAAAAACGCTGTGAAAATGTGGGAGTTTACGAAGCAACGCACTTAATGCAAGTGAGCAATGTACCTCAATACTAATAATAAAATGCAAATGATATAGCAAATTGCAATTGCAATTGCAATGGCTACTGATTGATAAGCTATTTTTAGGTATCCCCGAAAAAAAAAAAAGTGTTTAATAGGCATTGGCGAAAAAAGCCGATTAATAGGTTATCAATCGATAGGCATTGGCGAAAAAAGTCGATTAATAGGCGATTGGTTGGTATAGGTTGGCAATAAAAAGCCAATTAATAGGCTATCGGTTGGTAAAGTGTTAAGAGACATAATTTTTAAAAGTCAGCACATTAAGCTAAAACTGTTTTACTGGAGCATTATCTATCTACCTTGATTATATCATCTATGTAAGATTGTATCTGAAGAGTGGCTGCTGGCAACTGGAAATACACTGGTGGGCAAAAAATGAAGGACAGAATGGGAAAATTATGAGTGAAATGAATAAGAATAACCAGTCAAGAGAAGACTATAGATCCTTTATTTCAGAGCACATGCATCTAATGCAGAACATCATACTGTCTGCATATAGGAAGAGCCATATCCAAAAAACATGGAAAGCTATTCTGCATTGGTGATTTATTTGAACAGTATTGAGTTGCTGTCAGAGTGGGATATAATCCAATACACAGATTTGTAGACGATGTATGGGTGGCTGTACACAAGGTAGAATCATTGAGAAGTTAAAGGTCAAAATGTGATTTAATGTGTTTGACTCAGTGCTTTCAGATGTTTTAAACGTAAGAGAGAGTGTGGGAGCATGCAGTCACTCCTCCAGTAGAAAGGCACCAGTTGGCAGGGTGCAGAGTTCTTGTTTGGGAAGGCATAATACTTGCAGTCTGTATGGAACTCCATATCTTTTATGGAGAGATCACTATTATTGTGAGGTTCTCTTTTCTAACATGTATCTTTTTCAAGGTACTGGTGGCCCTGAGTTTCTCTTCCATGGATTACAATGCTATAGTTTATCATATAGCTACTGTTACTGAGCCTTTTAGAGAATAGATATTTGTTGTATGAATTAGCCTATCCTGGAACTTATCTGGTCAAATACATGGGTGATGGGATGTGGGATACCTGGTAGTGTGTTGCCAACCACTAGTAATGATTTCACAACTGCCATCGGTGCTACCAGATGAATAGGACAGGGTGCCTCATCTCGTTATTACGAAGTACTGAGCAATGATAGATGTGCTCCGTCTATCATGCTTGATACGATTAATGGTGAACTTGCGATGAGTGGTGAACCTATCCTCTATTGAGAATTGCTTTTTCTTACCTGAAACCTGTTGCATATCATCAGTGCTTATAATGTACTTTTGATTAAAAGTCCATTGCTTCTTTTGGGTAGCTTTCTTCTTCAGTGTTGTTTGCCTTTTCCATGATCTTCGCAATGTTATAGTATGCTTTGCACTGATTAAAGAGATGTGATAGAACATTATGGATGAAAACCTATCTCATCTTTTTGATTTTATTAATTTTTTCACATGATTGTAGATCCAATGATTTTAAGCAGTATTATTTCAACTACAGAAGTTAACCTCATTGGTCATATCTCTGCAGAAGGGACCAATCATCTTTGTAATGTTAGATCTGAAGAGTGGATATTGGCAACTGAAAAAAGATTAAAAGATTTTGAACTGTATTATTTGAAGGAATATGTTACATTTAAAATTTTATCAGTGATTTTATAATAAAAATTAGTATGCATGCACATATTTTTTTATTGTTATTATTATTTCTAAATAAAAAATCTTTGTGATTCTCAATTTTAATCTTTTTCCCCCCTTCCCTCTCCGTATATTTCCAGAGATAGAATTATTCACATATTAGCTGTTCGTCCCTACAAAAAGCCAGAACTTTTAGTCAGACTTATGAATGGTATTTATGTTTAATTTAAATTTTTTCTATATTATTATTTTATGTTTTAAAATAATCGGTCTTTTGAAGTAAGTTAAAATTACGCTTATTTGCATTTAGAGGGAATTCGGGAGAAAGACCGAAAAGGAATCGCTGCTGTTATTTCACAAGTTGGTGTGTTGAAAGGAAATATATATAATCTTGCCAATTATATGTGGAATGAAGTTCAAGATAATTGGAAATTCTGCACTCAAGAGGAATTAGATATTATTCGAAAGTACGTGGTTTTAAAATTTAAAAAAAAAATTCTTAAAAAATAATATGCCCTTTATTACTCTTTAATATAAAAAAGAAAAAATTAAATTCATTGTTCTAATTCTGTCATTTTCTAAAAATGTATTAAAACATTCACATTTTTTCATGTCCAGTTTTTTGGAGAAAAAATAAATGCAAGTGGTCTCAAACTGGTAGCTCCTGGGCCACATGCAGCTCTCAAAGCAATTTTATGTGACCCGTAAAGACATTTCAGTTATGTATTTGTTACAAAGATTTCAGTAATTTTAAGTCTACTTTGTGTTATTTTCATTTCTGTTAAAAATGAACATGAATAGCACACCAAAAAACCTATATATGAAGCTAATTAATTTACAGTGTGATATAAACCTTATTCAAAGATTTGAAAGTACACATTTATAAACTTTTATTCATACTTGTCCCCCAAAATATAAAAAAGATCAATTAAGAATTTTGGTGGAAAGAATAATCACTTTATTTGGGAAAATATTTATAGGAGAATAGCTTTTTTTTACAGTTGAAACTTAATACCTAATTGACCAATGAGTGTCTACAATCTGTGATGCAGATAATTTTTAATCATTTTTCTCCCATTAAGTATTAAGTTTTGATAAGAAATAAAGAATTTTATTATTTACATAGAAACATACATTTTTTATGCATGGAAAAAATATTTAATAAATCAGGGAAAGGAAGTAAGTTATTATTTATTCTTGTGTCCCATTTGGTAAATTTCCTCTACAAACTTGGAAAGTTTTCATAATTTTTTTAAGATTTAAAAAAAAAAAATAAATTGTTTAATGATTAATTAAACATATTAGAATTACACAAAAGAAGTGTCAGTCTAAGAATTTAATATTTAGCTGTCAATATGTATGAATTACTAAGTGTAACCAATTAAAATGTCTTGCAAAACTTCAAACAGAAAAAAATGTAAATTTGAAATTTTCCTTTGCATTATTATTATTATCATTGTTTATGCATGTTTTGATAAATATTTAGTAAGCAAAGTTTAAATATTTAAAATATTTTTATTTTGCTGATAAATTTTTCATTTTGTTTAAAAAAAAATTCTGTCCTGTCAACTGTTTTCATATCATGCATTCGGCCTGTGTATAACTTGAGTTTGAGACCACTGATATATGCTATTATAAATGCTTGTCAAAATTTTGCATGATAAGAATTGCATGCAAAATTTATAATTAATTAATGTGTACTTTGAAATGGGAATTTATTAACATAGTTTATGTTGGTGAAAATATTTAGTGTACATTATATGTAGTATTTGAAGTAATTGAATATAATTCTTTCTTTAAGTTTTTTTATTATTATCTATACTATTTGCCTATTTAGTTTGAAATAAAAGTAATTTCTTTGTAGTCTGTAAATATTTATAATGTATTGTCCTCATTTAAAAAAAAAAAAAATTGTTCTAAGCGATAAACTTTTAATATTTCTTTCTCTTTGAGAAGTTGTAGTTTTTATGCATTTACATCTTTTCCCTCTTAATGGAAGTAGCGATGACACAGAAGCGTTTCTTGATATTATATCTGAAAAGTATTCTTAAGATGAAAATTGGAGACTTACAAAATGCACTAAGAGGAAGAAAAAGATCTTAAATTGTTGTTGCTCATTGAAGAAGGCCAAGGAGATGACACAGAAACATTTTTTGCTTGATATTATATCTGAAAAGATGGAACTTAGAGACTTACAAAATGCACTAAGAGGAAGAAAAAGGATCTTAAACTGTTGTTGCTCAGTGAAGAAGGCCAAGGAATCTTTTTTTTTTAATGTATATTGATGGAAAATGAAATCCCAACATTAAGAAGAAATCAGTTTAGAGGAATAAAATGGGAAGCAAAGTATGAGTGTAGGTAACACTCACACTTTGTTTTGATTAATGTGTCGAAGTCACAGGTTAAGGTATGAAAGAGAAGAGCCATTTTTAATGTGAAATGGTGGTACATTAATAGCTGCTGTGTTGCCACAATATTGAATTCAAGCATGCAAATGTGCGTGCATTGTATCATGTAGGTGCCATTATGTCATTTCGTGGGATGAATTTCCTTGCTTGTTGCACCTGGTAAGTCAACAGTGATCCATGCTGGCCGTAGATGATGCTAGATTTGTCTTCCAATCATATTCCTTGTGTGCTCAGTGGGAGGAAGGCCAGGTGATACAGGCCCAGGCAACATGTTGATTGATGTGAGATTGGGGGGGGGGACCATTATCCTTTCGTAGAGTACTTCTTCGAAAATTGCTCAAGAATGGCAGCACAACCAGTGCTATCACCAGGCACATGTGCTGCCAAAGTGTGTGGGTTAATGGTGAGAATATGCTTACCATCATAGAAAATTGCTCCTCAGATCATAACTCTTGGTGTTGGTGTGTCTGTTCCAAGTGCTTACCTGGCCTTCTAACTAACATGCGGCTATCACTGTTGCCAAAGCAAAAATGACTGTCATCTGAGAACACCAGCTTAACAAGCAAAAATATTGTAATTTAAAAATATTACCATTGTAGTTAGTCTGCAAGAAAAATTTATATCAGATGTGTATTCACAATGATAAGCTTTCTGACAGAAAGTAAGTCTGAAAATTATTAAATGTGAAAAATGAAAGACATTTTAAGTTTTATATTAATGCTTATCGTGGCTGCAGGAAGGTTTTGGTAAATGGTGTTGATAAGTTTTATTCAGTTTGTTGCAATAGAAATAAGCTATTTTATTTCAGAGCTTCAATAAAAAGAAGGCGTGCCATATATTTTTGTAGAGGTGTTTTATTATGGAGTACCTTGCTCAAGTTATGAACTTTCTGAAAAGGAGATTTATGTAGGAAGTTTAAGGAATAGTGTGTTCTCTGAACTAAGAAGTCTTTAAATTTCTTGAAATTTGGACTAAAAAATTTCCATATTTTGATGACAGCAGCTAGAATTTGCCAAGTAGTAATGAAAATCATTAATCTGCGTCTTTAAAATTAAGAGTTACACATAGTTAATGTGATATTTTGATTCTATGAAATACAACATTCATCCACTAAAGGTGATATTTTTTAACCTTTAGTAACATTTGTGTATGGTGTAGTACATTGCTTTTAACAAATGGGGTTAGGTTCTGAGCAAATGATTGAATTATTATTCGAGATATTAAGTTAAGAGTCATTTTTCTTCTAGTATGATTAGGACATGTCTGTGGTTACTTATTTTAAATTTTAGTTTAAAGCTGCAATAGATGAATCAAATGAGTAATCGTGAATAACTGCACTTATGATCGATTAATCTTGAGCTGTATTAGTGGCATATTACTTTATTATTTTTGCTATGAACAACCTTCAATCTGAAATCTCAGGGTTTTAATTCCTTCTTCCACTATCACCAACCTTCAACAATATTTCCAGATCAATGAATTAATATTGCTTCCCCTTTGAAAAGGTGCTGCAGTCACAAATATGTATGCCTTGGACATAATTTTAATCAGTGCCCATCAACATTAAGTGCTTACTGTCTTCTGTAACCACCATACAGAATAGTCAGTCTGAACAATATGCAGTCAAAATTCGTTAATCCGGACTCGTCGGGACTTCGGCGATTCCTTATCGATTTTTCCGGATTATAGATCATCTGTTTAAATCTGGTAAGATGGCATGAAGAAATTATAAAATTAAAAATATGAAACCGTAATTTATGAGATAAAGAACAATTATGATCTAAAGGGTATCAAAATTTACAAAAAAAAAAAAAGCTTAATATTTATTTGTTTACTTTATTAAACATTTCTTTCAATGTAAGTTGCTTCGTTTTTATGTGATAATCTTTCTCTTTAATTTATATAAACAGACATAATTTCTTGTTCAGTTACAAAGTTCCGCTGTTCAGTCCTATAATTGCTGTGTCGAGAATACCGACTAATTTGTCAATTGAAATTTTTCATTTTCAATAACCTCTGTGTCACTTTCTTCGCTATCGTAAGCGAATTATAATGACGAGGAATTTGATTTAAATCATATCAAAGATGGAGTACATCGAGATGAAATACTACATTTAGTAAGGAATTATGAGCCAAATAAAATAAAAACATCTGCTCTGAAGATAAGGATAGTGCTAACAGATCAACTTCCAATTCATTGCGCGCTGCAGCGTTTCCCCCTCCCCGCTGCAGAGCAGCGTGAAATTAATAAACAGATTTCGGAATGGTTAGATAAACAAAGGATATGCCTTTATCCATTTTTTGCAGCAATTCCACTTTTTCTTTAATGGACTTCGAAACATACTTTCGCTTTGTAGATCCTTTACATATTAGTAAATATATATTGGAAATTCTATTTGACATAATCGAAACTTTAAGCTTACTTTTATAACATTGCTCTAACAGTCTGCAAAAAATAATTAAACGCGCATGCGTAAATGTATTTTGCGCATGCGCACACGCATATTCGCAGCCGTGAAGGTCTTGTGCACATGCACAGAAAGTTTGTAGCTTTGAGGTCCGGATTATAGATCATTCCGGATTTTCGGTGTCTGAATTAACGACGTTTGACTGTATAATTAGAAGTATTATATTTATTAGTCTGAACAATTTAGTTCTAAATATTACTTAAATCTCTCTGTATCCCCCCTTTTTTAATTATAGGATGCTTTGTATTTTTCAAAATATAATTTACTAATGAGAGTGCATTGTGAAGCCATTCCATGAAGAGTAATGGAAAGTACAGTACAACTCCAATTATCTGAACTTCGAAGAAGAGAAGGAAAGGGAAAAGGAAGAAGCAGGAGAGGATGATGATGATGACATGTCCCTTGAGGAATTAAGAAACATTCTTTTGAAAATTCCTGGATGTTCAGAAGTTAGTGCTGAGCAGAATGGAAGATGTGTGATTCAGCAGACCCTGGGTTTCAAATTCTAAATGGTGATGAACTTATTGAAAGTTTCGAGGAAAAAGATGACCTTAATGTCTAAGTTGAAACAGACATATGACAGGGCCTTGAAACTGCATTTAAGTGGATGAAGCATCAGCCAAGTGTGACCACATGCAACTTTTTATTGTCAAGCGGATACGTGACTTGGCTACTCAAAAACATATGAAGACTTTCAAACAGCTTACTTTGACCAAGATGTTGAGCAAGCAATGACTTTCAGCACTAGTACGTACTGTCAGGATTCATAGTGGCTGTAAGTCAAGTGCTTATAAGTCCGTATATTTGAAAATAAAATATAAAGGCCATTATAGGTGCTTACTTTTTCTCTAAAGCACTTTTTTTCTTTTTTTTCCTTTTAGTGCTTATTTTTTGCTTTTAGTCCATTTTTCTCAATGGACGTGCATTTTTTCCCCTATCAAAGCCGAAACTAAACAACTTTTCTTCCTTATATAGAACGTCAAATGGTGAATCGTACACCCAGAAATAGCTTTCCCTCCTTTTTCTGCATTAAGGCTTATTTTTATAGTTTTAGTTGAAAAAAATATGTGATGGTAGTCATCACTAAAATTTCATCTATTGCTACTGTAAAAGAATTAAAGTTTTGTTTATAATTTCAAGCTGAATGTTGTAGGTTTACTAATAAATTATGGAAACTAAGATACATCTTAGAACTGAAGTATAGTATTATTCTGTTATTAGTATTATATTTTATTCATTTAATCAAATTGCAAATATTTTAGGCTTAAGAATGAATCTGTGAACTGAGTTTTATCACTTTTGGTAAAAGGTATTCATAATAAAGAATTATCATTATTAATACGGTAGTATTGCTAAGAGTGCTTTTTTATTTTCAAGGTTATTATACAATCATGTAATGATAATCTATTGCATTATATTTCATTATCATCATTTTATCGAAATATTTGAATGGTAACATCATTATATTCTTATTTCCATTTTTGTTTCCCTTGGCAATTAGAATATAATGATGCCAATTATTGGCATCATATAATTCTTGCTATATATAATGGCATTCTTTTTAAAAAAATTAGTTTGCATGTGATAAGTTTGCTGAATATGTATTTGAGCAATACCTTAAAATTTTCTCTCCTTTTATCAGGAGGAAGCAACAAATTCTGAATGCTAATAATGAAAATGATGTTCCATCACCAAATAATCAACTTTCCAATTCACCTACACAGGTAAGGGATGTGAATTATTATTTGCATTAAATAATAAATTAAGTATAATTTTTAAAGTTAAATTGATGTAATTTAATTCTCATGTTGTTTTCTTATTTCTTAATTTTCAGAAACGTCCTGCTTATGAAATGACGGGCTCCAATCAAGAACCTCGTAGTAAAAAGCAAAGGATTTCCCATTACAGTCGGCCAGAAGCAGCTTCTCATAGTGTCAAAACTGAACCCTTAGAGTATAATACTAATGAAAAGTTTCATTCAACTGTAGCCATAAATAGGAAAAGCCAGTGCTCACCCGTAACAATGCAATCGAGTTTGAATGGGTGTTCTCCAGAAAATGATTCAGCTCAAAAATCTCCGGTTGACATTGCCAGTGACAGTTATCCAAATTTAAGTCAAAAAAGTGCTACTATAAATTATACTGATGACATGGTGTCATCCTCTAGTCTGAACCAGAGGAGTTGTACAAGAGAGGACAGTGAAAAAAATATTCGTAGCCATGCATCTGGTCTAAGTCAGAGGGGAGGCCCCTCCATGGACACAGAAAAGTCTTTCCGAAAGGAGCAGTTGGCAGCCAAGAATTCTAGGTTTGAAATGGACGATTCGAGCCGACAACGCCCTTCGAGCTTTTATCCGAAAGGTTATGTAAATAATGGGGAGAAATCCCAAAACCACCCACAGCTAAGTCATTCAAGGTCACTAAACCTAATTTGTAATCCTACAGCTCAGGTATCTCCAGATTCAAATGGCCACTACCAGGGCAAGGAACTAAAAAATGATCCATGCCCAAAAACTGTTAGTAATGGGTATGTTAATAATAGTATTAAAACTAATTGTAATAGCCAATCTTCCTACATCAATAGATCAAAAGTGACTTCCACAACAAATGGATCTTGCAGCAACTCCCCTCATTCAAGTTCTGATAGTAGGGACAGTATGGATTGCAACAGTAAGTAATATATTTTGCAAATGTGTATATTTATTTTTAAAATAGATTTTTTATATGTGTATGCCTTTCTGCATGATAAAATGGGACCCCAAAAAATAATAAATAAATTAGCTTCTGAAATTTTAATTTGCTATTGGAAAGAATAATGTAATACATTATAATAGTATGCTTTTTTTCAGTTTGATTAACATAGATTAATCTGATGTTATAGCAGATTTCTGAAATTGAACCTTAATAAGTTAGCTTTGAATGAAATGTTTTATTGGTTTATTGCTGTATTTACTCATATATTTTCTACCCTAGTTTTATCGGCATAAGGTTAAAAAAAAAATTATCATGTCATTTTCCTCTTTCTCAAAGCATTCTGAAAACAAATTTCCTTAAAATGGATTCACCTGTATAGTGGTTATCGTCATCTTAACAACCATACCTAGAGCCATCAAATTTTGAATAATGTAGTTCTCCACCTAAATATGGGCGTGTGGAAGCCGATTCTTGAATTTCGAATTTGTTTTATTATATATTTCATAATTTTTAAATTTTAATCAATTTTTGATCAATAAACTGAAGGATTTCAAAGTGAACAGTAGCAGTACACTGTGCGGAATAATATATTTTTATGTCTAGCACGCGAGACTATGTATCGGAAATTCTAGAGGTATGCTATTTTTAAATATTTTTAGCCCAAATGCTGTCAGAACTCGTATGTATGTGCAAATGAAAAAACATGCCCTTCTGACCGTAATATAAAATCTGAAAGTTTTCAGATTTTTTGTTCTTTTTAAATATTTTTTTATTGTGTTTTCAGATGAAAAAGGGCTTTTTGAAAGCTTCTTCTTCTTTTTTTTTCCCCCCCCCAGATTTTTTTTATTTATTTTACCACCACTTGATGCAACAGTATGTTTTTCATTATTTTCATAGTTATGGAAATTGTTAACACTAGAAAGATGGAATTTTAAAGCAGTATTTTTCACAGATTGTATTAAAATTACAATTTGTGGTATATTAGTTTATTTCTTTTTTATTGAGTAATAGTTTAACATTTTAAATTTAGAATTATTTCTCATCAAGAAACATTAAATGATGAGATGCAAAAAACATTTTAAATAAATGTACTGTAATGTTTCCATTGCTACTTATAACCGAAGTACACAAAAATATATTTGAGAAATATCATTTAGTTAATAGAGACAAAATAAAGTTTATAACTTATATTAATTTGGAATGAAGTATGTACAAATTGTATAGTGCTGCCGCTAAAAGAAAGGATTCATTCAACTTTCTATTTTTCTTTCATAAAGTGCAAATAAACAGCATTTTAGATTTCACATAGCTTGGGCAATACAAATTACATATCTGGTTGTAACAAAAGTTTTCTGCCCCCCCCCAAAAAAAGAGTTCTTAATAAAGTTAGAAAAAAAAATATGAAAGCACCTTTACTGTGTACCTTTAGTACGGGTAGCAATCACTACCCAAATCTATGATTTTTTCCTAGAGTACCTTTAGTGCAGGTAGTAATCACCATCCAAATCTGTGACTGTCTGCTAGCATTTTGATAGTTCAGAAGTCAAACAACAAAAATCAGCGTTATATTTACAAAATTTTCACAGGACTAGTTTCGATGGTTTTACCGAACCATCATCTTCAGCTGCAAAACCGCAAATGAACAAGATAGGAAATAATGTTTAGATAAGATAAGAAAGCCTGGACAAGAATAAGCAAGTGGCGCCATCTGTTGGCAAAACCAGAACTAAAACATAATTTCTCTAAAAGCCGAAGGCAAATTTGGATTGGAATTAGGATCGTTAACTAGAACAGAAAGATTTTTATGAATGTGAAATGCCTCTAGAAAATCCAGTTCTCCAATGGAAGATGTTTTTTGAATAATTTTGGCAGCAGAAAAATTGAAAGTGTGATTTTCGGACCAACAATGCTGAGCAACAGAAGACTTCTGTGTTTCCTTTTTTCTAACTTACACTTACATCGATGGTGTCACTAAACTCTTAAACGAAGGACCATATAATCTGATCCCTAAAGATCCTTCACCTTCGGACTTATCCAAAATAAAAACTGCGATCAAATCTTCGCAAATCATTTCAAGCAACTTAAAATATTCGCTTATCCCATCTGTTGCGAATTGTGCCAGATTATATGCTCTTCCCAAAATTCATAAAAGTGGTATTCCTTTCCGCCCTATTGTATCAAATTTAGGTACTGCCTCGTATCCATTAGCTAAATATTTAGTTTCTAGATTTTCCACTCTATTAGACAATAACATTTTCATCATAAAAAATTCAATAGAGTTTGTAAAAAAGGTTAAAAACATTTCTCCTCCTCGTAATTTACTCATGGTTTCTTTTGATGTAAAATCATTATTCACCAATGTCCCAGTGGAGGGTGCATTAAGATGTCTAGAAACCAGACTTCGCGAATTTCATTTCTCTTGCATCGAAATTGATGAGCTAATTTCTCTCACTCACTCAACTCTGTTTGAAACAACACATTTTGTTTTCCAAAATAAATATTACAAGCAAACTGAGGGATTAGCCATGGGAAGCCCCCTCAGTCCCATCCTTGCTGATATCTACATGCATTATTATGAATCAAAATTGTTTGAAACTTTAAAATTCCCGGCATGGTTCCGCTACGTAGACGATACTTTTACCCTGTTTGAAGGTAATAAAGATGATTTGAAATAAAGTTCTTTCAACAATGAATTCTATTGATCCTGCTATTCAGTTCACTTTTGAACTTGAGACTTGCAATTCTCTTCCGTTTCTCGACATTCTGGTCACACGTAACATATCCAACTTCAGTACTACAGTTTACCGTAAACCTTCATCGGTTTGCCTTCCACCACACTTTAAATCATGTCATCCGACTAAACAAAAGTTAGCTTCATTTTATTCCTATGTTTTCCGTGCTCTTCAAGTTTGCTCCTCCAAACTAGCCCTTGATGAAGAACTAAATTATTTAAAAGCAATAGCTATTGACAGGGGCTTTTCACCCAACATTATTAATCAAGCAGTTAAAAAATTCTCATCTCAGCACACTAAAAGCCACACTCTTATTTTAGGAGATTATAAAAATTCTGTTGTCATTCCCTTCTTTCCATCAATTAGCTATAAAGTTGCACATATTTTGCAGAAATTTAACTTTCGGGTTGTTTACTCTCCCATCAATAAAATTCCAACTTTTATACTCAAGGACCCCACCCCATTCCGGATATGAATTCCTGGGGTATTTATAGGATTCCTTGCCAGTGTGGTTTTAATTTACATTGGCCAAACTAAGAGAGCCTTAAAATTTCGCGTCAAAGAACATGAGGCATATGTTAGAAAAAAGGAAAACACAGAAGTCTTCTGTTGCTCAGCATTGTTGGTCCGAAAATCACACTTTCAATTTTTCTGCTGCCAAAATTATTCAAAAAACATCTTCCATTGGAGAACTGGATTTTCTAGAGGCATTTCACATTCATAAAAAATCTTTCTGTTCTAATTAACGATCCTAATTCCAATCCAAATTTGCCTTCGGCTTTTAGAGAAATTATGTTTTAGTTCTTAGTTCTGGTTTTGCCAACAGATGGCGCCACTTGCTTATTCTTGTCCAGGCTTTCTTATCTTATCTAAACATTATTTCCTATCTTGTTCATTTGCGGTTTTGCAGCTGAAGATGATGGTTCGGTAAAACCATCGAAACTAGTCCTGTGAAAATTTTGTAAATATAACGCTGATTTTTGTTGTTTGACTTCTGAATTAGTATTTATTCGGCGTGTTATTGTGTCTTAATTTTGATAGTTTTTTAAAGCCTTTGGCCCAGAAACTTAGTGGGCATGAGTCCAAAAACAGTTCAACCTCATTTCAGATGTCTTGTGCAGATTGGAAGATAGCACCAGCAAGATATAGCTGCAGGTGTGAAAAAAGGTAGAAGTCCGAAGGTGCGATGTTGGGGCTATATGGTGGGTACGCAAAAGATGCCCTTCGAATCCATACAGAGTCCAGCCAGTGAATGCACACACATGTGGCTGTTGTAAATGCACTGCTGTACCACTTGCGTAGGATTCTGTGAACAATATTCTGCTACTGTGACCTTAATTAGCACACTTCCAGTTTCTGTGAAGTATCACAGTATTATTGCTAGTTGTCACAGTCATTTGTGCCTGAACATGCCTTTATGTGCTTCTGCATATGAAACTGTTGTATAACTAAAACAGCTAATTTCTCAAGTAGAGTTTTATTTCCCTAGAAGCACTTTATTATCAACCAAACATTAAATAAAGTAACTTAAGTTGAAAATCATTGAACATAAACCTGTACAAAAGGAAATTGAAATTTTGTGGGTAGAGAGCTTCTTATTAAAGTAATCTCCGTTCGCATCTACAGTTCTACTATAACATACCTGGTTTATAATGAATCCCTGGATATAACGAATGAACGTTTTGGTCTATTTCAGTTTCCTATACTCTTAAAATGTTATTTTATACTGCTCTAGCAAACTTCCAAAGTTGTGAAAATCAGATATAGTGAACTGTATATGGATATACAAACATCTAGAAAATATCTTTTATGAGATAGTAAAGAAAATGATAAGTGGTTGGTGAGAATTAAAAAAAAAAAAAAAAAAAAGGAAGTCGATTGACTATTTAGTAAGAATTTGGAGCATGGTAAATTGCATGAGCAGTGAACTTTTGTAATTCAACCAACAGTTATGTTTCTGTGTAAAATTAAAGAGAAAGTTTTAATACAAAAAAACAAAATTTCTTGAACAATTTGTGTTGAAAGAAATTTTGGTTCCCTTAAAGATAATGCTTTATTATTTTACAAGAATTTTATATCTTCAGTTTTACAGTTTTTGCATGCTATCGTACTAGATTTAAATTAATGGTCTAAAATCTGAAATCACTGAAGTCCTGACAATTCTGTATCTCAGACTTTTATATCTTCAAATTTTAACCATATAGCCATTCTTAAAAGCATTTTCTAATTCAGAAAGTATTTCAGTAAATTTTCATGATTTGTGTAATTGTAACGAAAAGTGTTTTCTTGATCAGATTAGTATAAGAAATCGATCTGTGTTGCATGTTGTAGATTGCTGTTTATATATGTTACATATAACAGAATTTTTTAAATGTAGCTGATTTTTCTTGCATGCAATAGAAGATATTTCTAGACATGACAGAAGGATCCTACAATAGTTAACTGTGATTGCAGTTAACTATTGCAGGATCTTTCTGTCATGTTAGGAAATATTGTAGCATTTACAATTGTGATTTTCAGTTATTATATTTCTCAAAATTTTTATCAAGTTCTCAGGATTTACCAATTAGGCTTTTAAAAACATAAATGAAGATAAATGTTTTCTGTTTTATTCAGTCCAGCACTCCATAATTAGTTAGATATATTAAAATATTAGCCACACAAGGCACTTCCTGAGCAAACAAAAGATTAGTTTTTCATTATGTGTTCTATTACTGTAGTTATTTTGTACAGCTTATAATTATATTTTCTCAAATTTAAGGTTCTGAACTTCAAGTTCCACCTCCAACTACCGAGTCTCCTCCTCAGTTCGATTGTCCAGATTATATGAAGTGAGTACTTATTTATTTTGCTTTTTTCTTACCAGTATGAGAATACGTAGAGGTAACTCTATAATTATGTGGAATGTGCTTAAAAACCAAGGTAAATTGAGTTTTTACTTTAAAATATTCTTCTGATTGCTGAACGAAAAGATGAAACACTACTAAATCTTATGCCAAACATAAAAGCAGAGCAAAGACCTAACCCCTATATCCTCTATATCTCCCATTCTACTGGGGCCAATTGACAAAATTCAACTTGCGTTTTTCATGTCTCGAAAGCACAATTTAGGATATGTATTAAATTTATATACAGCATTGTTCTAATACAGATATTTTGACACAAAATCGAACTTTTCCTGAAATGATAGGCCAATTTTTTCCCATATTTTGATTCTATGACTAAAATTATGCCAAACTGCAAGTTTTGTAAAAATTGCGCGAGTAGTTTTTAAAAATTAGCTCTCAAAATTTTAGCTCCTCAGCGTTAATCAAGTTTGCTATATACTATTTATTAATCTCTCTTTTTTTTATTAAACTTATTTGATTCTTCCTTTCTTATTTCAAAATTCAGGTTCATTCCAAGTAAAATTCGCCCATTTTTTAGATTTATTTTTAAAATTTGTATTTTTAAAGAATTTTTATAAATTTTTCAAAAAAAATTTGATTTATAATCTATAAAACTTTTACCATCATCTTAAAGTACATGTACTTCTAAGCTAACCTGTAAATGCATTTAATCAGCAATTTTGTGGAGAAGGTAAGTTCTTCAAAAAAACTACTGATTAAACTGCATTTTTTTCCTCTAAGGTTACAAACTAAATTAACTCTTTGGCTTGGTTGGCTTGCTTTCCACCACCCCCCATTCTGGTTTTCCCCATGTGTAACGTGTATACGAGCCAGTTTCCCTTAGAAAGTCCTCCACGAAAGGCATCCCTCCTCTTAGGCAGATAGCCCTAGTGTGCTTTGCCATAATTAAATACAACACCACATCACACACACCACCCCCCAATTCCTTATATTTGCTGAGATGGTACTGATTTAATTCTGTTTTACAAATTAGTTGTGTATTTAAAACTCCATACATTTTTTTTTTCATGATATTGATTCAAATTGCTGCCTTTTTTTTTTTTTTTTTTTAAATGCATTGCTTCTGAATTTATGTCGAACTCCTTTTCTACTTCTGTCTTTCATAAATTATGCATTTCCCCTGTGTCTGCCAACTGCCTTTTGAAACAAATTGTTTCAATAAGTAAAGCTAAATAACAAATTTTGCTATATTATCACTTTATATTAGAAAGACTGAATAAAAATAACCAAACTTCCCAATATTAAATTTGTAGATTCTGCTTTAGACAAGAGTTACAAAGTTGATTTTTATATCCATGATCTCTCATGAACTGCTTTTTATTTTTATTTCAGAGAATATGGTACAATTGAATCAAGGGAACAAAGAGCTCGCTATAAAGCAGATTTTAATGCACAGTATGAAGAATATTTGCATCTGCATTCAAAAATTAAGGGTATTTCAAGAAAATTTGCACATTTAGAGCATAATTTGCATACATGTGAAGAAGGTTCTGAAGACTTTAAGGTATGTATAATGTATTTAATGAAACAGTAATGCTTATATTTAACATTCCAATGTGTATTTTGAAAATGTTTGTAATCAAAAAAGTATGTGTCAAACATTTTTTTTAACTCTTATATAAAAGGCTGTTTTTTTTTTTGGAGGGGCTAGGAATGGAGATATTTTACAACTGTAAGAGACAATATACTTATTTTCTTATTCCAGGTAATTGAAACTCTTGGTTTTACATAAGGACATTTATAACATTGCCAAAATATGATTAGTTTATTAATAAAATTTTTTAACAGAGATCACTTTTCTGAACATTTTTATTTTTACCTCATTTCTTAGTGCATGCATTATGTAAGCAATTGCAGGTAACAGATTACATGTTTATTTGCCAGTATATTAACTGCATTTAGTTTTGCCCACATACAGATGTTACGCTGTAGGAATTTACTTATATATGACTGAATACTGTAAGAAAAGTTGCTATAGATATGCATAATTTTTTTTTTAAATTTTATTTTAGGAATTGTGAAGAATTTAAAACTTTTAAATGTAAGCCTAAATGAAGTGTTATTTTGCAGTAGAATTCTCATAATATTTAATGAAAACAGGAAATTATTACAAGTTAACAACTGTAAACATGTAGTAGTTGCTTTCTGTTTTGCCTGTTTGTTCCATTAATTTGTGTTTCTTGTTCTGTTTGTTTATTTTTTTAATGCCTACTCATGTAATATTTGCATTGCAGAATGTTAATATTGTAGCAAATTTGCACCAACCTGTAACATAAATTCTAAACTTAACAGTATTCTAGAGTGCAGAGAAAAACAAAATAGTTTTAATAAGAGACTGAGGCAGTTATACAATTAAGTGACCCTGAATTAGGGATAGCTAGTCAATATGGAGTTGGGCCTCCTCTGGTCTTATTCTATGGAATGGATACTCCATTTCTGTGTGAATGACAGGACAACATAAACGGATGGAGATGATCGCCCAGCAACTCTACGTACCAAATCATATTGAGGGAGGTTGGTACAAGTACCAAAGATCCCAAACACTGCCAATTAAAAACATCCCAGACCATGATTAAGCCACCATGGCCTTGTACAGTTCCAATCTGCCATACAATCAAAAGTCGTTAATTCGGACACCTATAATATGGAATGATCTATAATCCGGACCTCAAAGCTACAATTTTTCTGCGCATGTGTCTCGTTGACGCATGCGCATAAGACCTTTACGGCTGCGAATATGCGTGTGCGCATTCACATAATACGTTTACGCATGCGCGTTTAATGTATAACGGATGGTATAAGCTAAGCTAAAATTATCTAATTCAGTTAATGTTGCAGATTGCGTTGTTCCTTAATCTTTGAATTGGATCCGGCTTATTATTTTTTGCAAACTGTTAGAGCAATTTTATAAAAGTAAGCTTGAACTTTCGTTTATGTCAAATAGAATTTCCGATGTATATTTACTAATATGTAAAGGATCTATAAAGCGAAAGTATGTTTCGAAGTCCATTAAACAAAAACTGGAATTGCTGCAAAAAAATGGCTAAAGCCGCGGCTCGCAATGAATTGGAAGTTGATCTGTCAGCACTATTCTTATCTTCAGGGCAGATGTTTTTCTTTTATTTGGCTTATAATTCCTTACTAAATGTAGTATTTCATCTCGATGTACTCCGTCTTTGATATGATTTAAATCAAATTCCTCGTCATTATAATTCGCTTCCAATAGTGAAGAAAGTGACACAGAGGTTATTGAAAACGGAAAAATTTCGATTGACAAATTAGTCGGTATTCTCGACACAGCAATTATAGGACTTGAACCGCGGAACTTTGTAACTGAACAAGAAATTATGTCTGTTTATAGAATTAAAGAGAAAGTATTAGCACATAAAATGAAGCAACTTAAACAACTTACATTAAAAGAAATATTTAATAAAGTAAACAAATAAATATTAAGCCTTTTTTTTATTATTATTTTGATACCCTTTAGATCATAATTGCTCTTTATTTCATAAATTACGGTTTCATATTTTTAATTTTATAATTTCTGGAAACCAACTTACCAGATTTAAACTGATGATCTATAATCCGGAATTGCCAAAGTCCCGACGAGTCTGGATTAACAACTTTTGACTTTATTGGATTCATGGCTTCATGAGTCTGACACCATATTCTCAGCCTCCTATTGATATTAATTAGTTAATCCTGACTTATCACTCCTCGCTACTCATTTCAAGTACACTGGAGTCTATTCTGTGTATTCTCTTGCAAAGGCAAGAAGTGCAGCTCGATGGCATGCATTCAGCAAAGGTAGTCTCGTGGGTCTATAGCTTCCGAAGCCCGTATGGTGAAGCGAGCATTGCATGATCTATTTACTGACTGTACGACTGTCGCTCTGATTCAGCTGGATGGTAATTTGACCTAATGTTTGGCTCTGTTGATTATGTACAATATGGCCACACTTGTTCTAAGTTGAACTTACTTGTTCACACCACACTTGTTCTAAGTTAATTTACCTTTACAATTTGCCCGATCACTAGTTCTTTTTCCCACCATCCATGTATTCTCGGTATACTCTTGACACTGTCGACCTTGGAAATCCTAGCCCGCTGAGGATTTTGGAAAGTGAATGGGCCCATGCGTTGAGTGCCTACTATCTGTCCGAGATTGAAGCTGTCTAATTCAGAAGTTTTACCCATAGTGGTAATTGAAACGACTGATTAACAACAGACATGTATGTGCATTTACCACAACTTCCTTATGTGAGCACAGATGCCATGCAGCACTATAAAATTTGTATAGCCATGTCTGTCCCTAATTCAGTGGTACTTCAGTGTATAATTTTCAAGGTTATAATCTGCTTATGAGCACATTCTTAAAGTAAAAAAAATCAATAGCCCTCTTATCTTCAGGATATTCAGAGTACTTAAATTACATATATTCTGTTGTTTGATTCAAAGGCAGGTTTTTGATAAATATTTAATTTGTGAATTGTAATTATGTAAGCTTTAACATAAAATAAAAACCATAATTTGTTTTTCTTTTTCAGAGGATTAAAAGCAGGATATATAAAGAATATAGAGCTTATCAACAGGATCCCAACTACATTGATGCTCTGAAAAAATTTAACTTTTTGCATTGCAAATTATCACATATCAAAAGGTTAGTTATGGATTATGACAATAGTCAATGTGTAAAGTCCTAGCACTTGTTGCTAAGTATATTTTTTTAGAAACCTATTACCCTGGATATGTAAGGAAAATGGACTATCTCTGAAACAATTTTCGTATGTGTCTGGAAACTTAAGAACGGTTTCTTCTTCTGTCACATGATTGTAAACAGTATTTCTGTGATTAATGACATTGTCAGAATCAGAAAATTTACTTATTTATTAATGTCAAATGACAGATTTGGCTGCTTTCATTTCAAGGTGTAAAATTTTGTCCCACTTGTATGGAGAAAAAGTTTTATTAAAACATTTTAATAATTTTTCAATATGAATAAATGAAACTAATCGTTTGCATGAAACTCTATGTAACAGCTATGTCTTTTCTTGATTAGTTCAAACTTGGGAAAATCAGTAATGATTGTTGTAAAATGCTGTGTTCATTTTTTAAAAAAAATTGTATTCTGTTGCTCGTAATTGTGTTCAGTTTTTATTTTATGCATTATGAAAAAAAGAAAACAACATACCTAAATATGAAAGCATTTCTCTTCCTTTCTACTTAAAAAAGTAATAATTTCAACAAATTATACTTGCTATGCTAAGCATGAAACATGGATATTTTTCTTAGTAGCTGAAGCAATTCAATTTACTTTCTGGTCATTAAGGAAGAAAAACAGCAAAACTCCACTGTACTTTATACTAATATTTGCTAATTAATAAAAAGTACTTTAATTATAATTAGTTTACTTCATAGAAAGCATTGGTTTGTAACTTCTTAGGTAAATGGAAAAACTCTTCCATTCCTTTTCTACCTGGAAAAAAATAAATAAATAAATAAATTACTTGAGCAACTAATCTTTTCAGACTTTTTTTTAACTACAGTCACTACTATTTTTAACTTTAATAATGTGTTACTTTAATAACTTTAATAATGTAATTTAATGTGTGGCTTTCCTTTTTATTTACTATTTAAAATTCAGATTATTTTTAGTGGAATATTCCAAAAATTGATCCTCTAAGAACCATTAAATATGTTTACAACATTTGCATAATTAATTGTGTAGGATACAAAAGAAGAAAACTTAATTATGAAATTCTTATTATAGCATGGCAAAATAATCTGTTTATTTTCACTGCCACGAAAGCTATATTTATCATAGCTTGAAGGGAGTTTATAAAATAAATTAAAAAGAGATGTGTTTTAAGCGATTTGTTAAAATTATATAGATTAACAAATTTTTTTCATTCTATCATTCACAGTTAATAAAATTGTGGTTAAAAAAAGTCTGGAAAATGTGTTTGTATGTCATTTGTTTTCTAAGATTTCCAGTCTATTCATGTCAGTGGATTCTACTTTATGTATATTTGAAGGGTACCATATGGAGATGGAAAAATCTAATAAATAATTACTTGTCAAGCTCATTCTTGATTTCGGAGTGGTGTAAAATTGAACTTCTGTCTGAAGATCTATTTAAAAAAAAAAAAAATCTTCATTGATAGGTTTTGGCATCGAACAAAAATTTTTTATCATGAAATTTTGTCAAGTTAAAAAGAAAGTAAATCTAATTATGCTTAATTAATGTAAAGGCAAAATGCCCACTTTAAATTTTATTAGTTCTTTTAATTGCTTTTTCTGCTGTCTGAATGTTACAGCTGATTATATTTGACAAACAGCAAATATGATAATTTTTTTAATGTTATCATTATATCACTGATTTACTTTTTTTAATGGTTTATTTCTTAGCCATTATCATTCAAAAATTTTATTTACCTAGATTGTCTGAATAGCAGTGAAGCACTTAATTAAAATTAAACTAGCTAAATTTATATTATATTGAAAAATTATATAATATTTCTGGAGGTAAATGTCGCATCAGACCAGAATTGGGAATACTCAATTTTATGAAATTAAAAATGATTGTACTGTAATATAGATTATTACAATCTTACTATATCTTGCATAACACATATTCTTATTGCACTCTGATCTTATTTTTATAATATAATGAGTAAATTGTTATTTGAGCAATTAAAATCTTCTAAGAGTTTAATATATTACTTGCAAAAGATAGGTTTCATAAATTTCATTTTAAAGTTATATTATTGCTGTTGTCTTTTATTACTCAGTATGAAATAGGCTTCCACTTATTCAAAAAGCCAAAAATACAGCCGATTTTAGCTGTGCCATCTCCATACTTTCAGTCTAATTTTCATGTTAGAATGGCTGCTCTAAAACAGCTTTCAGAAGTAAAACGTTTTTTGAATATGTAGATTTTTAGGGGGGCGATGAGTAATTTCATTGCTTTAAAAATAGTATTTACTGTGAGGTTAGAAATGCAGCTCTCTTTTGGAACTGTTTTCTTGTAAAATCTATGAGAATAAAATTGATGTAGAAAGTGAATGGTTGTAAATTTCAGCATTTTTGAAGTTGTAGTGTGTAATGAAAATTTCATTAGATTTGCATTATAACTTAATTTATATCTTAGTGCTGTGATAAATATCTGAGAAAAAGTATTTATATGATTTCTTCAAACTTGAAAGCTATCACTGTTTGAATGAAAACTGCTTGTCAGCATGATTTAAATTACTGCATTATGTTTATCTTATAACTTTTCAAGTGGTATGAAAACATAGTTATTGCTATTTTTCACTATGTTGTTTGATTCCTAGAAGAATCTACCAAAATAATGTTTGCACAGAAGGGAAAACAGTTTTTCTGTATGCAAAATTTGCTAAGGCAAAACAAAAAAGAAAAAAAAAAAAAAAAGATATTGCTATCACGTTGACGACCGGAACGAACCATTGACTATGTTAATGTTTTCTGTGTTTATCTCTTTTATCCCATTATGTTATAATTTCTTCTATGTTTTAAACAGTCATCCTTATATGATATTTGTTTTGCTGTTTGAAAAGAATTTGTTCATATCAGCTTAGCATCACATATTCTATGCCATCAATTGTTGTCTGTTTTAATGTTAAGTATCATTCCAACTTCAATATTATGTTATGTAGTGGTTTAGGCTCATAAAAATTATAACAAATCAATATTCATATATTTTCAAGTTCCTTATTTATCAAATGCATATATACATATTATATATATATTCAAATGCTTTTAAAATTTCATGCGCTTTAATAGGGAGGGAAAATAAAACCTGACTGTGTATTCAGCTGTTATTTTGAACATTAATATAGGTATGCGCTTTGCGAAATAAATTTTTATTTATATAATATTCCTTCACATTAATTATTTAAAGTTCCTTTTTTGGGTTTCGATTGATATTTCAATTGAATGGTTTGAAGGCTAATAATACCAGAAATATCTAGTCTTAGTTTTGTATTCATTTAAAATAATAAGAGAAATAAAATATCAAAGGTCTGTATGTATAGATAGCTATTGATTTTATTATATATAAATACTACTGAGTTTAAAAAATGGCTAGAATTATGTCGTGAAAAAAAACTTGGACATGGAATGATGCATTTTGTATGGTAGAAATTTTCTCAAGTTAGAAAAATCTAAATATTAGAAAAGCAAATTGTGTGCAGTTGAATTTGTGTATGTTCAAATTTAGTTTTTATTCATTTTGTAATGTGCATTTGTTACAGTTTTAATACTTTTATTGATATAATTAAATATGTAGCATATTATTATGAGTAAGTGTACTTAATAGAGTATTAGAGAATATATAAGAAATTTATATTTCTCCGATATTTTAAAAATGCTTCCTTCTTTTAAAGATCTTTTGGGTGCATCTAAAATCACATTTCATTTATTTACTTTAAATTGTAATTTAATTTTTAATTATGGCATTATATTTAACTTGAGATTTGTTATGAGTCCTTTGGATTTATGCACATTAATGGAATTTGATACTGATGTGTATATACATATTTTAATTTAGGAGGAATATTTTCAAACATTTCTTTGTGAAATAAGAATTTATTGCTATTTCATCATCTGAATTTCATTGCCTTAATTTATGCTCCTAAAATAAATTATCTCAGAGCAAAGCTTGATAATTTTTAATAAAGACTAAGAATATTGCAGAAACAAAGTTTTTGATAAAATTTGTAGTCTTTAAAAGGAAAGGTAGTACTTAATTTCTTCCTTAGTTCCTCAATGAAGTTTTTATTGTTAGAAAATTTCAGTGCAATTTTTTTTTTAATGCATTTAAGATTAAGTCCTCAGAATCTTTACTTTGTTCTGGAGAATATATTGCTACTAATTCCGTGTCTTTTGGATATTAAATTGCTGCATAGAAGAATGTGTCTAATGAATGATTTTTCCCAAATAAAATAATAGTCTAAGAAAAGATCTTATCAGTAGAGAATCATTTTTTTAATTACCACAGCAAGTTATTTTTAATAGTATTCTTTAAATTATTTATTTTTTTATAAAATACCCAGGGTGTGTTATGGGTAAGAAGGTGATTTATGATAAATAACCTGTGGTTTAAAATAAATATTATAGTTTTAGTGCACAAATTAAAAGATTTTTATTGAAAAAATATTAACCAGACTGGTTCTAAATGGGTGTTATTTTATATGCACTCCACTACTTAGCTTTTCAAATGTTGCAAGCATCATTTGTTTGGTTCTGTTGAATAAATTTATCAATAAAAACCTTTTCACAAAAACTAGTTAATATTGAATATTTCAGATATTACTTTTGAAGTAATAATTCTTTTTATACTTACTACTAATGTTTCCCATGGGTTTAAATGCAGTGTTAAGAAATTTAATTGTAAACTCTATTATTTATAATTCGTGGGTGTAAGGCATTTAATTTTAAAGGAGTAAGTCTTTATTATGATTTATGTATGCAGAAGTATGAAAATTTATGCATAAGTGTTTTTATATATAATTTCAATTAAAAAAAAAAAAAAAAAAAAACTAAATTTTACCATTGCACAGTAGCAGTTTTAGCACAAGGAAAAAAATTCTGCATTTAAACCCTATTTTAACTTATTTGTGATATGACATAGAAATTATTTTATATTTTTTAGATCATTTTATGTTTCATCCAACATAATTTCTGGATGTATGTTGTCTGAGCATAAAATATTCAACAGAATTTTTCTGAATTTGTAAGGTTGCTTGAGCAATTATAGAGTTAAATATCACTCCTATTTATATTTTTGGCAGAATATCTATATATGTGATGTATTTTAGAGAATATATATATATTGCTTATTCCAAAGAATGGTGGTAAGAGCAAAAATTGGTAATTCATTTAAAAATGTGACCTGTAAATGTATAAGTAATTTTTTTAATTAATGCTATTAAATGAGTTTTCAGTTGAAGTGGCAATCGAATTACCTGTTTTAGTTCTGTGGTAGATTTCATGGCAGAAGCAGCATTTACAACTTATAATTTTTTGGGAATCTCAATGAAGTGATCTTTATACGAGTTTACCACAAATGTAATCCAGTATGAATAGAATATTATCATACACTTTATGTGCTTCTGAGTTACTTTAGCTGAACAATGTACTATTTGTTGTTGGCAGTAAAGCAACAAGAATCAGTGTAATATTCATAAATTTCCAGGACCAGTGAATGTTGTATATTTAAACCTTCCGGAGTAATCATGAAAATTTATGAATATTATGCTGATTCTTGTTGCTTTAACTCCTCCAATAATCATTATCCAGCATGCTATTTTAACTCAGAAATGTATTATTTATCTGAAATATATCATCAAGTCTTTGAATTACCATAGAAAACTGTTAATATTTTGCATTTATTTGAGTGCTTAACGATGTATAAACAGTCAGGTTTGCATAGCACATAACAAAGTTTTTGTTTATGACTTCTGGCTGTTGACATATCAAGTGCCATTACCAGCTTTGCTGGTTGCAAGTAAACTCCAAGAAAATGTTTGTTATGCCCAGCATTCCGCATTATTTCAGGGCTCAAATGGTTGTCTTAATGCAAAGTACAATTGTAATGTTGATGCAAGTAGAGTTGAGTGTGAACTTCTTGGGATACTGTTTAAAACCTGAAATCTTGATCATAATGTGATCTTAACAACTGTAAAGAATAATAACTTAATCTGATTTTTTTTTAACTGGCATTTTTTTCTTTTCTGAATAGTCTCTGTATTGGGATATCAAACTATCCTGTGATTTGATACTTATTAAAGCCAGTTTTTTTTTTTTTTTTTTTTTTTTTTTTTTTTTTTTTTTTTTTGTTGTTTGTTTGTTTTATGTATACATGTATGCAGTTGCTTTTGTAATTTTCTTCAAGATTTCAGGTTAAGTGTCCTGAGGGGTGTTTGTGTTTGATTTGTTTTATGCATTGTTGATGTATATTGGTTTGTGTGCCTGAGTCCTCAAGGATGGCCATGTTTCTTCATAGAATGTGTATTGGATGAAAAATAAATGACCTGTTGCATGCAGTTGTTCAGTTATTTAAATATTAACACTTTTTTAATTGTAAGTCTTTCCAAACCCTTTGAGATTTTAAAAAGATTACACAGTGAATAAGTTATATTTTGTCCGTTGTTATTTTTGTTTTTATATAATATCTTGTTGAAATCAGCTTTTTTAAAAAGGAACTTTAACTAGAAAGTTAAAATTGCTATCTTATTATATCAAACCAAACATTTTCTCTGCTTTATTAAAAAAATTAAGATGTCCCAATTTGTTAGGTAAGTTAAACTCAAAAAACTAATTGGGGAAAGTTACCTATATTACTATCTTTATTGCTTATTTTCCTGTTACATTTATCTCCTTTGAAACATTAAATCAAAATAACCAATCCTCGTGAAGAATCTACTATCCAGTTTTATTTTTACAGCTAATTTTAATGTACTGCAGTGTTAGTTATTAAATCAGATTTATATTCAATTATTAATTGAGTAGGCAATCACAAGCAGGAAAAGGTTTCTGTCATTAAATTCTTTGCCAAAAATACAGTATACAGTCAAAAGTCTTTAATTCGGACACCCATAATCCGGAATGATCTATAATCCGGACCTCAAAGCTACAAACTTTCTGCGCATGCTTCGCGTTCACGCATGCGCACAGGCGTTTACGAGAGCGCGTAAGGCGCTTACGGCTGCGAATATGTTTGTGCGCATGCGCGTTTAATGTTTAACGGAGTTATACGCTAAGCTAAAGTTATCTAATTCAGTTAATGTTGCAGATTGCGTTGTTCCTTAATCTTCGAATTGGATCCGGCTTATTATTTTTTGCAGACTGTTAGAGCAATTTTATAAAAGTAAGCTTGAACTTTCGATTATGTCAAATAGAATTTCCGATATATATTTACTACAAAGCGAAAGTATGTTTTGAAATCCGAAATCTGTTTATCAATTTCACGCTGCTCTGCGGCAGAGGTGGGGGCAGAAACGTCATTATTATATTATCATAGATTAGAAAGATTATGTCAAGTAGAATTTCCGATATATATTTACTAATATGTAATTTGTATCTACAAAGCGAAAGTATGTTTTGAAATCCGAAATCTGTTTATGAATTTCACGCCGCGGATTGGAAGTTGATCTGTCAACACTATCCTTATCTTCAGAGCAGATGTTTTTATTTTATTTGGATTATAATTCCGTACTAAGTTTAGTATTTCGTCTCGATGTACTCCGTCTTTGATATGATTTAAATCAAGTTCCTCGTCATTATAATTCGCTTCCGATAGTGAAGAAAGTGACCCAGAGGTTATTGAAAACGAAAACATTTCGATTGACAAATTAGTCGGTATTCTCAACACAGCAATTATAGGACTTGAACAGCGGAACTTTGTAACTAAACAAGAAATTATGTCTGTTTAATAGAATTAAAGAGAAAGTATTATCACATGAAACGAAGCAACTTAAACAACTTAAATTGAAAAGAAATGTTTAATAAAGTAAACAAATAAATATTAAGCTTTTTCTTTTTGTAAATTTTGATACCCTTTAGATCATAATTGTTCTTTATTTCATAAATTACGGTTTCATATTTTTAATTTTGTAATTTTTGCATGCCATCTTACCAGATTTAAACTGATGATCTATAATCCGGAAAAATCGATAATCCGGAATCGAAGTCCCGACGAGTCCGGATTAACGACTTTTGACTGTATAGTATATATACTATTACCTTTATGGTAAATAGAATCTATAGTAATTATCTGTAGTAAAGCTTTATGGTGCAAGCTAAATATTTGTCTCACTATTAGTTTTACAAGTTTTTGTTCTGTTTGAAATGTGTTTTGTTACATATTTTAATTTATATCAGATAAAAAGGTAAAATTCAAGTACATGTATTACAAAAATATTGTTTATTACAAGATTAGATATCGATAAGAAGGAAAATTTTTGTCATTGAATATAAACTTCTGTCAATAAATTTAAAATAAAGCTCTTTATGAATTTATATATTTAAAAGAGTAATCTTTTTCTCATGGTTATGCAATTTTAATATAAACTTCGCATTATTTCTATGTTTAGGTGCTGATCTGGTTTCTTAAGATTGAAATGCAGCCATTCTGTTGTTCTCTTTTGAACCGTGTTAGGAAAATTCCTATATTTTGACTAATGCTGTAATCCTTTTTATTTGCTGAAATGAACGTAATGGTGATTACTGAGTTCAGCGACAGTGAATTTTCTAGATTAAGTATGAGTACTAATATAGAAACTCTAAAATACGGTATTTCGGAAAATGTCATGGACTGTGAATTTTTCAAATTTCAGACTTGGAAAAAGTATGTAAAAATTACAAGTTCATAGGAATATTATTAACAAGACCATAAACTTGACAAGAAAATGTTCATATTTAGGTTAATAGACATAGTTTTGGTTTCTATAATAAACAAAGTTTAAAAGGAATTAAATATTTCAGTATTTATTACTATATGCGTTATATTATCTGTAGTATTTCTTTTTGAGAAATTTCTCATGAAAAGTTTTTGTAAAGTTTATGATTTCTCCTTTTTCAAGAACTTTTTAAAAAATATTATACGAAGTTTTTAAAAATTAAATTTACTATTTTCTTTTAGGAATGAGAAAGTAGCATTAAAATGATTGTCATAGTTTAAATGTCAGTTTGATTTTAAAATAGTAAGGAATAAAAATATCGAAGTTAAAAAAAAGTATTCACAAGATTGTAAAAATATTTAATTATTTTTCCATGAGTAAAGTCTTGAAGTTTTAGGCACTAAAAATGGTACTTGTTGGTTATCCATCCAGTACCTGCAGATATACTGCAAACAATATGTTGGTTATTCAAGCTATAAAAACCATTTTTTTTTTTTTTTTTTTTTTAATTTCTGCCAGATGTTGTTTAGTGATTTCATTCAAAGTAGCATCAAATTCACTACAATGTGTCTCTGTTTCGATATGAACTTAACCCTACCAGTGACCTAGTGCTTAAAACCACTGAATACTTGTAATTTAACCCCGTTTGAACCCAGGAAAACAAGCTGGCTACATGAATGCTTTTTATAGTTTGCTGTAAAGGCAAATAAAGAGAAATTGCTGACTGCAAAGCAGTTTCTCTTTTAAAAAAATCCTCCACAAAGGCATTCCTTCTTTTAGGCAAATAGCCTTTATGTGCTTTGCCATATTCAGGTAACCTAACCCTATGAACTCTTAAGAAAATGATGATGAAGTGTATTATTTGTTGCTTATTCCCACATTTGTTCCATTATTTGCTTACTGGACATTTTGGGAGGAGGGTAGAAAACTTTCCATTCTTTTGTAAAGAAAAGAAGAAAAGGTAGAATACTGATTGTTGGGGAAAAAAGAAAACTTTCAACTCTGTTGAAAAATTTGAAACAGCTTTGAGGGTTGTCAAATACTTGTAAAAATTGGATTGCTGAGTGGTGATGTATTGGTGGATACCAGATAACTTACAAGTATTCTAAAAATTGTTTAAAATGATGCTTATAAATGCGAATGATTATTTAAAATCTGCCATAAAAGTCTAAAAAGCAGTATTGATAAATAAGTAAACAGTATAGACATGGGGGAAAATCACTCTTTTATGGGTCTGATAAAAACCATTTGCTCACTGAACTAAATGGGGCCCCTTTTTTTAATTACTCATAAAAATAACTTCAATGAAAAAGGATGGTGGTGTATTTAATTATGGCAAAGCACACTAGGGCTATCTGCCTAAGGGGAGGGATGCCTTCGTAGAGGACTTTCTAAGGGAAACTGGCTTGTATACATGTTACACATGGTGAAAACCACGAAAACACCCATGCAGCCAGCCTGTTCGCAGGATTTGAACCTCGGACCAAACTACCAGTGTTCAGCGACTTTACCGCTTGGCTGCTGGTGAGCACCAATGGAAAAAAGGAACTAGAATGAATCAGGAATGGTTAGCAAGGATAGAACAAAGATCATCTTAGGTTTCTGTTGTAAATGGAAGCTTAAGTCCTGCAGATCGTACTAGTCAAATTGTGAGTTATAACTATGTTTTAAACAGTTCACAAAGTACCGAAGAAAGTTTAAATAACCTTTTCATTTAGATTTAAATTGAACATAAAAGCACAGCTTGTGCTGCAGATGAAATTTATGCCTCTTGTGGCTATTTAATTAACATAACAGACAACTAAATTCAAACATTTATGACATAATGTAAGACTGCACATTAAATAAGCTGACTCAGATTTTTCACTAATGCTTAGTCAAAACATTGGCTGGGCAGAATGCTAAAACCAAAATATAACTTTTTATGTAGAGCTGACTAAAATGTTAACAACAAGATGCATTTGCCAGAAGCTCTGAACCCGCACCTTACCTAATTGTATTTTGCTGAGGAATGCAGAGAGGAGAAGTTACAATGAAGACTTCAACCATAACTGGTTAGCTATGGTACCTAACGTTTTCTCCACCATAACTTTTATAATCGCAAACGGAGATTTTGAAGACTTTGGGTTACATTTTAAAATTCTCAGATCTCCAGCATTATCCAGCAATCACTTAAATTCTTCAAATTTGTTTTCACCTTGTACAAAACTTGGTTTCAGATATTCTCATGTTACAATTCATCAGTCTTTCATGGTTTATTTTCCAGGAAGCTTTTATTTTTGGGAATTTGGCCATGAGCTTCTGGAACTCTGACCATGTGAAGCAGGCAATGGTTCAGTGAATTTTAAGCCGTCTGTGTGGTTGGAAACACTCATCTTGCGGTGGCCTTTTTCGCTATCGAGCATAGTTCTTTAGCCTTGTGCACATTTGCTCCTGCGTCTATGGAAGTGATCTGTCATCTCTTGTTTTTTCCTCGCTGGTTCTCTTGACTTTCCGTTGAATTGCTTCCTCATCTGGCGGCTAAAGGGTTAATTTTGCCTTGGTTGACCAGTCATTTTCCCATTACTGGTAAGTTTGCTGCCTACTTTTGTTTACCGGAACTTTAGTTTCGCCTTCCTTCTATCTGACGTTGTTTCGTACTCGGG